AAACGTAATTCCGTTTTATTCCTGAACTTCATCCTCCTTCAAAAATATCATTCACAAAATTCCTCAGTAAATTACGATATATAAACTCACCTTGAAGAAATTAATGATCTGCTCCTTAGTAATCGTCCTAAGATATTGGGCTTCAATATTAACGCGATCAAAATTATACTGCTGAGTAGAGATTTCATTCCAGAAACTCTCGAACAAAGTGGTCATCGTCTTGAACTTCTCGAGCATCTCAGTAGTAAGTAACATCTTATGCTGGCTAAATTCAGGATCCGGCATATCGACCAATCGCCCCAATATCGACTCTATGAATGCATCTATCTTCTCCTCGACATACTGAGGATGTTCGTCATTCTCTACCATGAATGTCAACCCTTGGACCCCATTACTCCTCCGTACTTTACAATGAATGATGGACTCCGGATTTTCCTTGGTTTCCAAAACTTTACAGCACGGCTTAGTTATCATTCGTACGAGCAACTCCAACTGCACGTTGGATTCAGTTGATTGCAATCCACTTTGATAATAAACTTCAGTGCAAGATGACTTGTGATGATGATCCTCTACCTCATAGAGAAAATGACAGCCTTCTTCAAGATTAATTTCCCGATACGGCAACATATGTTTAGGTAACAGAGGTACTAGTGTTCTGTTACCCCGATTCGTTGGATCAGCTGTTAATTTCGATTGAACGAGTCGTACACTCTCCAACGCCTCAGCTTTCGTCAAATTCCCATAGACCAAACTCTCTACATGCATTTTTGACAGTAACTGAGGCACAAATGCTTCTAATTTCTCCACTGTAATATCATCAGCGGCATCCAGGAGTTCATCATTGGTCCACACTTGTTCAGCAAGCAGAACTGCCAGATAATAAACAGCATGGTCAGACGGCTTTTCAGTTTTATGATCCTTCAACGTACGGGTGTACTCCTCTTTCAATATTTCAAAGCGTTGCTTGTCAACCGTAAAATTAACCATTTTATCCATAATTTTTTCGAGTAGAATCCTGTGTTTATCATCATAACCATCCACAGACAATGATGCACCGTATTTACTGTCGGTAAAATCCCAGTTCAAGCCAGCAAGACTAGCATTGTATGAATATTCATTCAGAGAGTCCTTGACGAGTTCGATGTACATGAACGTTAAATTGCAGCTCAGTGGGTCAGAATTGGCCAGAGGTGTGGCGAACTCGAAGATCAAGTTGACTTTGGGCACGAGAAATTTGTCGTCCTGCTTGAACCATACCCTCATAAAAGGATTGTCTTCTATTATTACTGGGAATTTTTCAATAGTGCTGCGGTCGATCGGTTTTATTTCAAAGGATGTCGGAATTAACTCGTTTTTAGTTGGAAACTTCAGCTCTTCGTGGCGACGGTCATCTGACCACCTCATGAGGACGGAATCTGGGATCTTCTCTTTCTTGAATTTTGTACCGTACCAGATTTCTGTTTCTGTGGCGATTGGCTCGAATTCCTTTCCGATAACGTGAATTCGAATGTTCTGGGGACTCAGATGATCGATTACGAGTTTTATTAGATCTGGGCGCCATTCACTAGGGTAACACGGGGCAATCAGAACGTCCTCCATTTGGTACTTATGCAGGGCTTCAGCTGTGGCATTTACGTATGACTGCAGAGGTAGTTTTTCTCCGAAATTGAAGTGCATTTGCTCTATTTGTCGGTGTTCCTGTTTAATTAAACGAGAGAATACGATGAATGAGCCAGTTAATATCAGTAGGAGGTGTATCTCCTCTTTAATAATGCATAAAGAATCGTTCATTCATTTTTAGAATCTAAATTCGAGTCTGATGTGTTACTGACAAGTTTTTTGTTGATAAAAGAATTTCTTAATTGTTTCTAATGGGAGAATCAATTGATATTAAAAATTGAAACTACTAGGTAAAATAAAAAGAAAAAGCGTAGAGTAGTTTGAGAATTCCCAACACCACTTACTGACACTCTAATTTTCATTCAATGAATAATATTCCATTTGGTAAAAAGTAATAACATTCAATCAAAATAAAAGTCGATTGCTTCAATTTCATTCACGAACGATTTCCGCATTTATCAATTCAATTTGATAATCTAATGTATTCAATTCGGAGTATAATATAGGAAATACTTTACCTCAAAAAACCATCGAATAGGATCTTCACTTTTCAGCATATTGATGTACTGGAACATGAGAGAAATTATAATGTCGATATAATCGACGCCCTCTTCTGTTAAATTAAGAAGAACAGTGAAAAAATTCACTTCACCTCTGGCAGCTTGATCTTCTTGAGCAGATAGATTATTCGCCCAGCCCTTCTTCGTCAGGGCTGATAGAAGCGAACCATCACCTTCGTGACCAAGGAGATGAGAGATGTAGTGTGTAGGCTAAACACAAACCAATATTCATTATTAATACGAGAATAAAAATCGAATAATATCGTTAATAAATCTAAACTGGGATAAGTGAATTTTTTCAAGACCAACTTTTACCCAATTTTTGAAAATAGAAAGAAGATAATGATATTTTCAGAAATATCTTTCTTGCAGCTCCCGTCGTTTTCGATAAAAAATGTTTTTACGAAAGGCTCGATATGTTCCTTCGCTAGCAAGTTATTCGCTAAAAACTGGCTTTGAAAAAATACACTTATCCTAGTTTAACACTTCGCTATTAAATTAAGCATTTCGATAATTTAAGTCATTAATCATTTGGAGGAATATTTTCGAGGGAATTTTTGGACTTACATCAGCTTTATAGTGCTCTTGTAACTTCGGAAGTGGGAAAAACACTTTCAACAGTCTTATGTCGGCCATTGGAACTATGAACCATTTATGCCCATAATGATTCTTATTGAATGGATGATGTAGGCACTCCAGGGCCTTGACTCTTTTATTCGGCACTTCAGCGAACATCTTCACTATCATCTTCTCTAGATCGTTTAAACTCTCTATTGAAAAATCATTGAGATTAATGATTTCGATTAGTCGATTGATTCAACGAAAAGGAAAACATATTTCTAAAAAAAATATTCCAAAAAAGTTTTCTATAATCTTAGAGATATTTCCAAAAAATCGATTGATGATTTGAGTTAACTTACTTTATTTTTCAGTCATCATATTTCACAATCATTGAACCCAAATTGACGTTTTCAAAATTATTTTTTTTGCAAACTAACGATGAAATTGGGGAAAAATATAAAGTTTCTGTGTTTTGCCGGAAAATTCGAAAAACCGCATGAGAAGCCATTAAATAGTGATAAAATGAAAAAACAAAACGAGACACAGGATAAAATGGAATGCCGGTAGGAAGAGGGGGCAGAAATTCAAAAAACAACAGTTCTATTTACCTCGTCCGATAACACTAAGGGCCATGATATTAGCCGAGTACCAGGCTCCATGAAACTTGAGTAGTTGGTCTCGAACATTGATTCCATTTTTTTTCGGATTCACATAAAGAGTTTCTTCATTACCAGTTTTAAATTTGGAAAAAGGATGTTCAGGATCAGCTGAGGATCTGTGCAATTGATTAAACTTGATGGAATCGTCAGCGGTATTGTGCTCGGAATTAATGACATTAATCACGGGAGCCATCATGGACTCTGCGAACAACGGCTTATGAAAACATTGTGAAAATCTATCGAGAGCCTCTTCTAATTTGTTTGGAACAATATCGAAGTAATACACCGTACGATCCAACAGTGTAGAGGCATTTAAATGTCCTCCATGTTCAGATACATAATAGTAGAATTCATTGTTATTTGGATACTTCTGGGTACCGAGCAAGACCATGTGCTTACACAAATGAGCAAGACCTGGTAATCCTGCCGGATCGCTCATGAATCCAACATTAACATGCAAAGACGCTGCACTTCTATCGGTGGTTGAATCACTTATCAACAGAACTTTCATGTCATTATTGAGGATTAATCCTCTGTAGACTCTATTATCATTTGGTGATTTTTTAATATTCTCAAATCTCATCTTCACTCCATTTTCAGACGCTGTTCCAGCACTAGACTCCATTGCTGTGTGTCTGTAAATAACGGATTCGCCAGAAGGCAATAAAAAGTAAATAAAACATTACTGATTAAATATTTATAGTTAACAAAATCAGACATGTTCAAGATGAATATCAGCCACGAACACTTTTGTTCTGTAATAACTTACGTGGAATCTGATGATTTTTCCTCTGAATTTTTAGCGTTTCCTTAAATTAGTTGGCGTCTCCTAAAATTTTCTTCTCACGCAAAAATAACACTGACGACTTGTCTAATCGATTAATTTCTATCCAGTCCACGAAATATAAATGGTAATTTTTTACTTACGGTAATATTAAGACCAAGTATGTCAGCAAAAACCTTGAAGTACAAAGTAAATCTGAGAGGCGATCAAGCTGGCGTCTAAGACTGAATAATATGATGGATCATTTGAGAGAGTGGAGTATATATCCTGAGTAGTGATTCACGTTTTCTATTTTATTGTTTAAGGTGCTTTCAAAGTGACGGTTCAAGAGATTCGGACAATTGACAATAGAACTTGGGGAAATATTATTTTCTTGGTTTCGAATAGACTTTTGAATTCGTTGGAATCTAATCTATGGAAACTCACTTGCGATTCATGTACGTACGATAACGTACAATGTTGGATCATTCTAGGACTTATTTTTCTTACTTTGATAGCATCATTTCTACTGTTGGA